CGCCCTCGCCCTCGCCCTCGCCCTCGCCCTCGCCCTCGCCCTCGCCCTCGCGAAGTTGACGGCCCGACGCGACACGAACGTAAAAGGAGGTGGCCGACGCAGTGCTAAACTACTTGCGCATGTCGTGGCTTCCAATATTGCATCTTATTCTGTCTGATCGAAACTAAGAAGTCGCTTTGCTTGTAGATCAGTTTAATACGAACCAGAAATTGACAGTTACGAACCGAAGTTTTCGAAAACTGACGTGTTATGGACTCTAGACGAATTTTCAAAAGCACACATTATAAATGTAATACATTTATAATTCAGTGTTAATAAAAACATCCTATAATGGTATAATTTTATTATTTGTAGTTTTTTCACATTCATGACACACGAAGCGGCCTATGAACTCTAAGAGATTTCTGTTTGCACTGCAATGAAGATCAGTTTCACATTGTTTCATGACTTCCACTGCATTATTTTACAAGCAAGTGCTTAGGGAAACCGGATTTTGAATAAACAAGCAATGCAAACTGGAACGGATTTAAAGAATGGATCGAAACCTTCAGTGTTGAAAAGGTTGTGATTCTAATGTCTTAAGAGTGTGATGTCATTTATTTTCAAATACTTTGATGTTGCTAATGTCGCAAGGTATTCGTAAAAGGGTATAGGCCTGAAGACTACAACAGGATAGGTGGAAATGTCGCTGCATCGCAGTAATGTTTTCAACGCACAGGTTCTCCTAAGTAAGATGTTTTTGTTTCTCGTCAGAGAAGCGACTTATTTTTGAGAGCTCCTCTCAGGTTCACGCATTTTCAATTTTTTGGTACAGAACTCAACCAAACAAATGAAAGTTATCAGACAAAAAACACATACAAAACTCGGCCTATATAATTTCGTAAATCCAAATCTTCTCTGACGAGGGTACACTTCGAACATGCACTAGCCATTACAACAATTTCTTTGTGTTGGGACCCATCTCGGTCAAAACTGTGTAGAATATCTTATGGATTGTTTCCTCATATACGAGAAGTTTTATGTTCGAGAGGTCAAATTAACAGGGAGAACTTCTACCAGGCGAGGAAACATCGATGTCCCGGGTTGGCCCTCCCACAATAAAGCAACATGCATGTCCGTGAAAGTGGAAGTTCGAGAGGTCGAGGAGAGGATTCCCTCCGTCAGAATCGCACGGTAGTCTCTGCCATTAAGCATCTCCATTAGTTTCCAACAATTCCACGAAGGTCTCGCGTCATTTACGTAGGCAAATGGAAATCCGACGCCCCCGCAAAGCGCCTTGCCGCGCCCGAGTGACACCTTTCCACCGCGACAAAAGCTCGCCTTGGTCGGGTCGCATCTGCACAGGAGAATAAATACTTTTTCCTGGCATACACGCGAACGCCTTGAAAGCGTGTGGTTTCCTATTCGCTTGTTTCTTCCTAAGCCGCGTACCAGTCGCTCTTGTCGCTGATAACTCACCTCGACTCGAGTTTCCTCTTGTAATAACCTTCGCAATATGATGCAATACAGTCACCAGCATTACATAGATGTTGTTTTTGATACTACAATAAAATTAAAATAAAATCCATCAGTTGTAAATGTATCGTATGATTAATATTATGGAAATTTGATCTGAGAGAAGTGACCAATACATACGTTACGAATTACAATCAGCAACACCAATTGTCACGATGCGCAATCACGACGAATGATATTAGTAAAATTATGTATGCCTCGAAAAATAATTTCTTCATGCTGCTTTTATTTTGTTTCTTCATTTCTTGTTTTTGAGGCTTTTCAACTTTGTCTTCTATCAAGATCATATTTGCAATTGGTTCAATATTAATATACAATTTTGCGAAATATTTCCTTCAATTTTTCATTGTGGTACAGACATGAGATATACTAAGGCACCTAAACTAGCGAAACATGTTATGAACATGCGTACAATAATTGAAAAAGAAATTGTAAATGTTGAAACTGAAAATGTCTCAACTGCTCGTACTAGCTGCAAGTCGAACGCAAACGAGAAAATTGGATCTTCTTGGATCCATCTTTCCTTGATCCATCTATTCTCCATCAGTTATTTTGATCAATTATCCCTCTCGCACCATTAGGAAATTGGAAAAGTTGTTTTAAATGTGCGCACTCATAATATAAAGATGAAATAATTCCTCTTGGTCAGATTTTCTAAGCTTCGCCAGTTTCAAATGATTGTTGGCATTAAAACATTAACGAAATGTACTTAAGAAAACAGCACCTAATGACATTAATTTGACATAGCAGTTGCACTACTTAACTTAATTTAACGTTGCTTCATTACGAATGTTAAGGTTACTTTGTTGGTGATTTTAATAAAAATATTGCCATTTATTTGACCTTAGAGGTTAGTTCTTGGTTTCAACTACCCTTGGCTTTATTCTTGGTTACATTTTTTTCTCCACCACACAGCATGTTTTTTTTTTTGTTGAACAT